TTCTTACATTAGGTAAGGGAAGTATTATAATCGAATCAAACTTTCGAAGTGCAGTTTTCAACAGATCTTAAGGTTTCAGAGCCGCTTAATTCACTCTGATGAAAAAACACATTTTTAACCATTAGTCTTTATGTTTGAGTATGTATCTTTGTGCCACGATTATCTTTTCAACGGGTGAACCCCGCTGTCGCTTTTGTTGCTTCTTGTTTTCGTTTTTTGGTTTGAGCATCCATGCCTCTGGAACAAACCGGGTGCCCTCTTGGTATTTGGGACTGCACAATAAGAAAAAAACGTATTTTTCATATATCTAGGGTATTCCTGAGAAAATTCAAGGAGAAAAGGAATTTTTTTTGGGCATCGATAAAATAGTATATATGCACGAAAAAATATTTTATATATACTCTTTTGAATGGTAATTGGATACTTCATGAAATGAAGAAGGAATAATTATTTAATTATTTTTCTTAAATAATTATTTAATTAAGATCATCCACTTTAAGAAGTCTGGGTATACATCGGGTGGGTCGATCCCCGGATGATATAGCAGAACAAATAATCATCCGCACCACCGGACCCGAACAAAGGTCGAGAATCGCGATAAGAGGCTCATGCTCTCTTTTGTATACTCTTCAGATCCTCTTCTTTCTTCGGGGCTTTCTATTTTGTTTTCAGAAGGCTATTGATCCATATTGTCTTAATAATTGCTAACAAGCTATTGGTGGTAAACATATATTTATACATCATACATTTCGTCTCGTACTAAAGTAGTGAACATCATAAATATTTGAGAGCAGTTTTACATAATTACTCAAACTTAAGTATACAATCGTATACTTATACAATCATACAATGAATACCTTAAAATAAATACAAAAAGGAGTTGTTTCTAGTTATCTGATGGCATCACAGACCTTGTAAACCTTTTTTCACAGCACTAGCGGATTCAGGATTTAATTTTGGTGGGCTTCAGCCCGAAAGATTTTTTTTCATATACATATAACGATAATTAATTAGAAAAAAATAAAAAGAAATTAACTACCTGTATGAAATGGTGTTAAAGTGGTTCCTGAAGTCCTATTACATGTAATTAAACGAAAAAGAGTACTTAAAAAGATAGTTTTTAATATTTTTTTCTGTAAAACATGGTTATATTTTACCATTTTGGAGGGGCTTCAGCCCGAAAGCCTCCTCCCCCCCTCGTGAATCCGTCTGTTTCACAGTAACAAGCTTAATCAATCTATGCCTACCTCGGGCTGTTTCTTTCCAGTTGCATGCATGCAGCTCTATTGCATGTGGATTCGATCTATCCTTCACGTTTTTGGCCTTTCGCGTTGTCTTTTGAAAACTAGTGTGGCATTCATTGTCGTGTAGAGGCTTCCAGATGGATTGCTCCCAGGGGTGCCAATCCCTCCCAAGGTCAATGGTGCAACAACCTACCCTCCCCCTCCCGCCTCCCAAGATTATTTATTGCTTAAAAACAGAGGAAGGGGAAGCATAAATAGAAAAATTGCAGATCATACACAATTATGCTTCCAGCTGTCTGTTACATATTTTTCCCATGTCCTTTATTATGAAAATTCATGACTCCATAGAAATGTACCCCTCTCAAAAATTTTGATGGCGCCATAAAATCACCTTCTGGACAACTCTGCATGCACAGCCCATCTTAACTTCTGTGCCTTTATATCATGAGGTATTGATTGACCAGTTTTTGTAAGCAAATCTTCATTGGTCCTTCTTCACTATGCGTTAGTAGTCTGATCCCAGATAGCTTCGGTTCATGCAGAGGATTTTTCTCTCAAATATTTTAGTACTTTTTCTCCGTCGCTGGTTAGTGACCAGCGACAAAAAGGAGTGATAATGTTCAATGATCCTAAAATGTAAAGAAATAGCATATTTTGTCCTACTACATTTTAATTTCATATATATATATATATATATATTTATGAAATTAAAATGTAGTAGGACAAAAGATGCTATTTCTTTACATTTTAGGATATATATATATATACTTTTTTTTCGATTATTCAATATGTATAAATGTTCATTGTACCATTAATCGATAATTTTTTCTTTCTGGTGTAGACAATCTATTATTTAATTAGTTTTAACTACCTATAACATCTTCGTTAATGTTCCTTTAGCTAAAAAAAGATTTTGGCTTCTTAATAGTCACTAATATTTAATTAAAAATTAGCTTTCAAGAGGAAAAAATTCTAAAATAGACTAAAAACATTGGTTGGTCTGAGTTATGTAAGTATATCCAACAACCAATTAGCTTCAATTATCATTTATTTTAATTAACTTTTTTATCTTTTCGGTTTTTAAAATGTACTTGATATTTAAAAAAGACGAATGAATTTTAGGTAAAACGTTTTATAAGCATCAGTCTAATGATAAAATAAAAATATTGCAGATTTTATTACTTTATATTTGGTATCGATTCCCGCCCTGCCCAGGTAGTAAGTAGACAATCGTCAATAAATTCCGACCGAAGAAGATTTTAATAATAATAGATTTATACTTTTTATACTAGAGTTAATTTTATTTACACTGTTTTATAATCAGTTGATCTAGAATCATTTTCATTTTCCCCAGGAAACATAAGCGAGTAAAATCAAATTGACACTGTTCTTAAAAAGCTAAAGCGGTTACAATTAAACTGCCAACACATATAGAAAAGTAGTCCCTAGTAAGGTAAGCTGTTGACACGGACCCGTCTGGAGCACAAGTTAAAACGCTTCTTGTGGAGGTGAGAGGACACAGGGATTAATCTACTACGTTGAGGGAAAGCGAAATTTGAAGGACAGGGGCTGATAAGTGGCCTCTTAAAGATTTCAGAAATAATCGAAAATTTTGAAATTAACTTCCTAAAAAACAATCAAACATGGCTTTAAACAAAACTTTGAATCTATGGCCTCTTAGTTGGAACTTTTAATAGACTATTCACAATTTTTTTATCGCTTTTTTTTTAAGTATGGAATAGACAGTAAGCTGAATAAACGGTCGCCTTACAAAAAGCTCGGTAAGGCCTTCACTTCTCTTCATCCGGACTAGGACCTAATATTGGAAAATGAGCGTGATGAGAGCAATGTATTCATACATTGAATCTTCCCAGCTAATTAATTATATTCATTTACTTTACTAATTATGAATTGATTCTGTATAAAAAATCCATGTTCCTTCATATTCAATTTTACTGTGAATTTAACTGTACCTGAAACTTGAGGGAGAACGCATATACTTAATATGTACCATTGCATTGATAATCATAATGCATACAAATATATTTATTCATTTTTCCAGCTAGTTTAATTCATTTGTCAACCGGAGCAGTGATGGCATGGTCTTCCCCAATTATGCCTCAGCTGAATTTAACTACAGGTGAGAAGACATTAGTGGGGTCACTATTCTCACTAGGAGCAGCACCCGGACCCTTTGTAGTGTCTTTCTTCTTGGATCTGATTGGCCGGAAAGGAACCGTATACATCCTCAGCTCAACTTTCGTGACTTCGTGGATACTCCTACTGGCATCAAAGAATGTCTACGTCATATACATTGCGAGGATTATAGGTGGAATAGGAGTCGGAGGATGCTGCTCGGGAATACCAGTATTTGTCGCAGAACTAGCAGTAGTAAGTATTTGACATCATCTTAATGAATTAATTTTACTTATACCTAATTTGAGTTCTACTAATGGGTAATTTCTCTTCACGTTGTTCATGCCATGTTACCAATGTCACATTTACTTGTTGTATTCTTAATGTAATACAGTTGTAAATTTCATTAAAATAAAAAAAAAAAACTTATACCTAAGTGAGTTACCTATACTTACTTATATCTAAAGAGTTAAGACGTGTAAAAAACACGCGTTGCCCCGCAACTTGATAACCTGACGATTAAGAGTTCGAGTTTCAGCGCGGGGGGGGGGAGGGGCTTTTAACTCTACCATTGATCTCTCGCTCTCTCCCCTGGTCCGAGGAAAGCCTCGTATAGCCAAAAAGTGTTGAAGAAAACAGCCTAATGGGAATGAAAAGGTAAACGAACTGGTTGAATTATTACTATCACATTGATTTTTTGTTTGCGAAAAGTTTATTACTCATTATGTGTTAAAATAAAAGTGATATAGTATAAAAACCAAAATCGAGTTTCCGGGAAATAAACAATATCAGCTATCTTCCTTATTGTAGTAAATATATTATACTAACTATTCTTGTCTTTCTCTGCTTCTTTCATCCTATGACTTATGATGATGCTCAAATAACCTCAATATTCATTCTTACCTTTAGTCTTACTATGTCTGATTCACTATAGATTATATGCCCTACATGGTTATGTCTTCTGTGATATCTATCAGACTTCCCTTGCTCCAGAGATAAGACCCATTATTATTCATTAAAAAACTGTACACCTTGTTTGTCCAGTATGTCACTCCATGGCTCATTGGTATTATTAACGTCTCATATATTCAGAGGAGACTAAATATCCCAGAATAAAATTTACTTTCTTTCTTACTTTGGTGATCGATGATAGAAATTTATTACTTTTCCAAAGTAATATTGGTTTGCTATAACTTTCCTCCTCCCATATTTTTATGTTTCTGATTTTAATGTGGTCTTTTTCTGAATGTTCAGCATTCACCTATCAATAGAATTTTGCCATATTATTAATTTATTTTCATTTTTTTTTAGGAACTTTATTTGACAACCATGGCTAACACATGGCATTATACAACTTCTAAAAATAATCTTTTCATTTGTAATGTTAAAATTTCCTTTTATAATAGGTTTGAGAGTCCAATATTTCTGCTAACTAAAAGTGGTTCTCCTCTGAATCTCTTTTGACATACTTTCAAAGAAATGACTTCACCTAAATAAATTTACTCTTCTAAATAATTTAAGATTGTCTATAGCTATTATAGGACAAATTGAAAAATATCTGCCAAAGAGCTGAATTCACAAGTTATATGATAGGTTTTTAACACATTTAACACACTGTAGTTAACAAGGCTGTAGTTCCAAGAGCATGGGTGTCATCATGTTCTGCAGTTTGGCTTCTTCCATAAACATGAATAGATCATCAACATATTCAAAAACATGGATTATTCTGTAATTATCTCTACTGTCAGGATCTGTACATCTTGTACCATTTATTCCAACGCTATAATAAATATCAAACACACACAAAATACATGGATTCTTGCTTGGTCTGGCAGGTTAACACAGTAAATTGCAATTTATACTTCTGAAGTCCACAAACAGGTGGTGCATATGAATGTGGAATTCTCTCCAGTAGAAATAGCATCACACGCTCATTAGAGGGCTCAATTTCATCAGATTCTTTAAAGATTCTTCATCGGCTAGGCCTTATTAAACTAGAAAATCCAATATTTTTTCCAAAGGTTTAGGGAAGTATCTTTTGATACCTCTACATAATGACTAATAGATAATTCATAAAAACTGACATTAATCATTTATCAACACTAAATGAGCTGAAACATAATTATGGTATAATAATAATTAAAATCAATGTCCAATCTAAATGAAAAAGTATATTCAAATATTTTACTCTCCCCCTCTTCATGAGAATTTAAGTCATATTATAGCAAAAATTCTAGGGATATAATAAAATATCTTATACAATATTGAATACCTTTCTACAACCCTAATATATTTAGAAATTTTCTTCTTCTGGATGAAAGTAAGAATCTATAAATTTCTAGTGTGATAATATAAAGTGATCGGTGGCTTTGAATATTTACCAATATATAAATAATTTAAAATTTGTCTAAATTAAAGGAATCTTTGTTTTTCAAAATATTGGCTTATGAGACTCATGAAAGCATGAGATTCATTATTATTAGACTATCTACAATTAATGAGCTCAAGTTAAGCTTTGGTACAAAACATGTAAATAGCTATGGTGTTCCATTAATTAATAACGCAAATACAGTTATTACTATTACTAATCCTCCTAATTTTGAAATAATTGGTCATTAATTAGGCTTATTTATCAATAAATACTCTCATGAGATATATTTTCTGAGAACTAGACTGACAGTTGTGCCTGACATTTATTTTTAGTTATTACTCATTTAGGAATTTGAATTTCAATTTTTGAAATTCAGCAACATCGTATACACTGACGATTGATCTACAATGTAAAATATGTAGCATGGAATCTTAATTTTTCATAATGCTTTTTGTTTAAATATCTTGTATTGGTTTCTAACAATAATGAGATTATGTATGTGTCAGTTCCAATATGGTTTTATTGGACTACACTCAACTAGATTAACTATTTTCCCATTTTAAAATTATTTTGCTAGCTTCATGTCCTGGAATCCAAGAATTATTTCATTATTGTTTTCAACCAAGCGCTACTATCTTATTAAATAATATAGAAATTATTGCAATTCTTAAATAAACTGAATATATTAATAATTTGTTTTATCTTACAGAATGACGTGCGAGGGCGAATGGGTTCACTGAGCTTTTTTTTCATATCAATTGGCTCACTTATTGTATTTGGCATAGGTCCATATGTCGGATACTATATCATGTCAGTATATGGGCTTGGAATAGCATTTATATTTATTATAACGTTCTTTTTTGTTCCTGAGTCTCCTTATTTCTACATAAAGAAAGGGAAGAGAGCTGCTGCTAAAGAAGCTCTTCAGAAACTTAGACGTTATGGCACTGAAGAGGCTTTGGAAGAAGAATTGGCTGACATTGAGGTGATTATAAATTCTCATTTAATACCTTAACTCACAAAAAATCAAGTGCTTTATATAAAATGTGAATCATTGTAGTATTCTTTATTAATAATTAGATGTTTTTAAAAGGATTTGTGAATTTTGGATAAAGACTGTATTATGGGTTTATCTATTATAATTAGAATTAGCTTAACATCAAATTCTCAAATAGACCTGATTATAGTAAACTGAAATATAGTCTAGTATTATTGATTAAATTGGTTGTGTGTTTCTTATGAAACAGAATTTCTAGAACGGGAAAACTTTGCCAAATCTTGCATCTATGAGAGTAGATTGATGTTCGGTGTAACGGATGGTTATATTTTATCTAAATCAAACAAAAAATCATAGAACATTTCAGACTAATAAGCTATGAAAAGAACCTTTGAAAAGTCAAATGTTAATTGATTTTCATTCTGTAAACTGAAAATTTAAATTTTGCCTTCATAAATATTGAACTATTGAGACTAAAGACTAGAGGGCTTCACAGTCTTGTAGGAGGAGCCTGAAGTAGTAAATTTGTTCCAAAAGGATTATATGTTTTGAGAAAACAAAAGAAGTGTTAAAATTTTATATTATCTATATCTATACAAATAGATGAAGCAAAAAAAGTTTATTTGTTATATATGATAATTTGAGTAATTTTTTATTCTGATAATTTCTTTGCATTATATACATTCTTTATTGAGGAAGGCTTTAGGTTTTACACAATAGTATGGCCCTTAGAAATGGAGCAGTAACCATAAAATACAATCAAATTAAAAACTATTGGCTATTACAATACAGAAATTCATCCAAATGTTGTTCACAACCTATATAAATAAAGTCTAAATTTTTAAGCATATTTGAATCTACCGTATATGTTGTTATCTGCATCAATTATGGATAAAATCATTAAATATTTGTTCCACAAGGAGAAGGTACTAATGACATTCTTTATGCTGAAGGATTGTAAGTTTCCTTAAAGAAAATACAGTTAGTAAAAAAAAAATATTATATCAAGCCATCAGACTGCAGAAAATTTCTTTCGTAATTTTTAATGATCTTTCCTTTTGTTTTCCAATATAAATTTTGGATGCTATTCAATTTATTAGAATAACTTTTTCATGTACTCATTATGTAAATGAAATAGACATGTACAGTAAACATATAATGAGCGTATATTCTCAGGACACAGGTAGTATTAAATAATTACTGTTAACTATATTAGTCAAAGACTGAAAACTCTAATGCTAAACAGAGATAGTAAATTTCACTTCAACAGCTATATAGAGACTGAAAACTCATGAATTGGTGAAGCATTAGCTTGTGTCTGGATAATATTCCTTTTTAGAGTTTTAACTTTTAAAAAATGGATAAATATGATCTAGTAAATGATTTTTCTTGCTAAGTATAGCTTAAAACACAAAAAAAAATTTTCTTGTTCCAGAAAGCAGTATCTCAAGAAGATGGTAATGTTGCTAGCTTCTGGGAATCGTTTAGCTCAAGAGTAGCTTTAAAGGGAATTGGAATTGGAATTTTCCTAGTTTTAATGCAGCAATTATCTGGTATGAATCCAATCAATGCTTACTGCCAGGAGATATATGAGCATGCAAACCTCAATTTCTCAGCTACTGTAGTCCCATTGATAATGACCCTGTCGAGTGTATTTGGCCTTGTGTCAGTTGTCGTTGTCAACAGATGGCTGACCATGAAACTTGCTCTGTTTATTTCTGGATTGGGCTGTGGAATTAGTTTAGTAAGTACTTTAATTTTAGTAATATTTTTAATTCTAAATAGTATTCATATTCTAAATTGCATTCATTTTGTTCACTGAATTAGAATTAGAAATAACAGCTATAGATATGGAGGTAATACACACCATACTCTTAGAAACCTATTGGTTGTTGAGATTGATTAGTACTTTCTGATTAAAGTAACTAAAATATAAAACTCAAGAGGCAAAGTGGCTCTGTCAAATGACTCACTACTTATTTAATGATCTTAGATTGTTGAGAACTAAAATGTGTTACTCTTAGATTTGAAAATCTAAATTAGCTCTCTATCACTGAAACATTCCCTCCATACTAACTTTGGTCCAATTCAATAAACTCAAAATCAGATAACAGTTTCATGCAGATTCTATCATTATTAAACCAAAAATCTTTTAAACGATAACTAACAACCTTTTAGATAATTTATATTTTGTTACGGTTAGATTTTATTTTTGTATTACAATAAAAAGCATTATTGAGATTAATTTCAACTGGATTGAATTATTTATTAACATTGTGAGCATGAATGTTTGCTGACCACTGGTGATTTATGTTGGTATACTATTAATTGATTATTTGAATTTGTTTACAGGCTTTGGTTGGTCTATATTTCGTTTTGATAAACAGTGGAGTGGATTTATATAATGTCAGTTTCATTTCAGTGGTGATTTTGTTTATTGGCAACTTATTTGCTGGTCTAGGTATGTACAATACACAACATATTTTGTACTAACAAAGTTAATGTTATATACTAAATAATGCTACCGTAAACAGATATTCCATCTTTAAATAGCTCTCTATTAAATTTGATTATAGACAATACAAGAAAAAAATATTGTATACTAGAAAAACTCATACTTCTTTTTTTTCTGAGACTGTACAGCAATTAGCCTCTTTAACAATGCCTTTCCAATCCTCCACATCATCCATCCATCAATGAAAATCTCTTAAATCTGCTAATAACAAGATAACAGACATAAGCGGAAGTCTTTTCAAAATATTACATCATTGGATTTTCTCGTTTTCTCTCAGAGTAGCTGTTGAAATAAATTATGAATCTATTATCTTTATTTAATTATCCAAGTTTTGTGAGGCTTCTGGAAAATGATGTGAAGCAGGCATACAAGTTTTTTCTCTTACTACTGTCAATATATTATTTTTGTCCCAGTATCCTTTGAACCTTAAATCTAATTAATGTGAAATTAAATTATTCAAAATGTAATCAATTAATTTTATAAATCTCAATTACTATTGATCATTCTCTGCTTCTGTCCATACATCAACTCCTATACTCTTCCTCCGTGTTCTATTATGGTTCTATTCTTTATTTACCAGACATTCCTAAGAGGTTGTAAAAAAACAAGAATTAAAAGGAATACATTTATAGACAGTAAAAAATTAAACTATAACAGTATATCAAAACTTTTATTAATTTATAGGAATAGGACCACTTACTTGGCCCCTAGTAGCTGAAATACTTCCCACATCCGTTAAAGGCATTGGTATAGGAATATGTGGTTGTATCAGCTCATTAACAGGATTTGCACTCATTGCATTGTTTTCAATTTTTTCTGATACCTACGGCTACAGTACTTCATTCTTTGGGTATGTTTAAAAATATCTGTAAAAATAATTAAATATAAACTTATTTTTTTCATAAGAGTAATTATAAGTGTAGCTGGTTTACCATTACATAAATCAAGAAGGAGATGGCCCCGATAAGAAAAAACATCAAATGGCTATATTTCGACCCAGATTGTAGATCATTATGACTAGAGGTCCCTGGATCATGCAAC